AAACACCTCCCCCCAATGAAACCCCTTCTTTGCCCCAAAGAAACCCCATGACCCCCCCAAACCCCCCTCTCTCCTAAAACCCATCTCTCTCCCCCCAAAAATCCATTTCCTCAGCCCAAAAAAAATCCATTTCCTCCCCCCAAAGCTGTCACGAACCCCCAGCCACCCATTTCCAACCAAAACCCATTTCCACCCCCCCAAAAAACCATCACCCCCCCAAAAAACCATCCCCTGACCAAAGAACCATCTCCCCCTGCCAAACCCACCTCAGCCCCCCCAAACCCAGCCATCCGCCCCCCTAAAACGCATCAAACCCCCCCGAAGCCCCAGCCCCCACCAAGTCCTTTCGGGATAAATTAGGCAATGCCAGCAGGCAGGAATGCAGCGGGGGGGGCACATGTTTGGGGGCCCCCCTTTGCCCCCCCCGGAGGGACTTTGACCCCGCAGCTGTTTCACCCCCAAATGCCGGGGGCGGCTGGGGGGGGGTGGGAAGCAGCTGCCTGGACCCCCCCCCGGGACCAGCATCCCGCCAGCTGTGCTGGCAGCCCCCCCAAAACCCGGGGTGACCCCCCCTCCCCCCAAACCCCGGGGGTGGCTCAGGCCTGGGGGGGAGCAGGGTATTTTTTTTTGGGGGGGGAAACACCTTTTAACGCGACCTTGGGGGAACAATGAGCCGGGGGGGGGGAGGTCGGCTATTAATAACCCCCCCGGTTATTATTCCTGTGGTGCGTCACCTCCTCTTCCTCGCCCGGATGAAGTAAAGGGGGGGGCACATCCAGATTTGGGGGGCACTTAAAGATTGGAGAGGCCACATCCCGGTTTTTTTTGGCGGGGTGACATCCCGGCTGGAGCGGGGGGAACACCCAGCCGAGGGGGGTTTGAGGTGCCCCCGGCCTGAGGGGCAGCTCGGGAGCAGGAGGTGGGCCGGGGTGGTGCTTCCTCACCCTCCTCTTCCCCAGGCTCCTTCTCCCCCGCCCCCCCGAAGTTTTCCCCAGGGCGCGGGGCAGGATTTGGGCTGGAGAGTGGAAAATGTGAGCGGCGGCGGGGCCGTGGCGTCCGGCCGGGCGCGGTGCCCCGGCGGGGGGGACACGGGGGGGACACGGAGGGGGGGACCCGGCGGCCGGGGGTGCGGGGCCACAGCGCGGGGAGGCTTCCGGTAACCGGAGAGGGGGATTGTCCCCTGTCCCCTGCCCGGACACCGCCGGACACCGGACACGCGGCTGCACTGCCCCCGGCAGGGAGGGGACTGAGCGCCCACGGGGGCTTGGGGACAATGACAGAGCACCCACGGGGGCTTGGGGACAATGACAGAGCACCCACGGGGGCTTGGGATGGGGGGGACAATGACAGAGCACCCACGGGGGCTTGGGGACAATGACAGAGCACCCACGCGGGCTTGGGATGGGGGGGACAATGACAGAGCACCCACGGGG